CCCGCGCCCGGCCGTCCCGTGGCAACGGGCGCCGGTCACCCCGCGGCCCAGCGGGGTTTGTGGGACGGTGCCTGGGCCCCAGCCCCACCGGGGCGAGGGAGGGAGGCAGGAGTGGGGGCAGCCACCCGGGGGGGGCACGGCTCCTGCTGAGCCCGGGTTTCCCCTCAGGAGAACGATGCGGAGCCCAAGAAGAAGAAAAAGAAGAAGAAGCAGCAGCAGGAGCTGGAGGCTGCCTCGGAGCCGGAGGAGAACGGGCTGGAGGAGGAGGCCTTGCCCAAGCAGAAGAGGAAAGCCACGGTAGAGGCCGACCAGGAGGAGGAGGAGAAGAAGAAGAAAAAGAAGAGGAGGAAGGAGAAGGTCAGGGACTCGGAGGAGGACTAGGGGCGCAGGGCAGTGCTCCAGCAGTACGGACTGATGGGCGGGCGGGCGCTCAGCTCGGCGCAGCCCTGCCTCTGGCCGCCGGTGTCTCGCGGCCGCGGCCGGCCCGGCCCCGTAGCGCGGCGGCCGCAGTAAGCGCGTTTTGGCGCCTGGGGGTCGGGGTCGGGGCACCGGCAGCCCCCAGGGCCTCGCTGGGCCCCACGCGGCATCGCCTCCAGCCCCGCGGCCCCTGGCCGGGGCCGTGCCCGCAGCCTCCCTGGGGCAGGGGCCAGGACCGCGCTCGGTGTGGCTGAACCTCAATAAAGCGCTGAGGTGGGTGTTCTCCATCCTCTTCTGTCTCCTTCTGCTGCCGCAGCCCGGGCAGGGCTGCGGGGGGCCCCGGCGTGGCTTTGCCCCCTTGCCCGGGCGGGAGGTGACCACGCCGTCCCCGCTCCCGGCACCACGGCCGTCCTTCCCTGCCCCGCGCGTGGCCGGAGCACTGCGGCAGACCCCTCGTGCTGCAGAGGCCGATTTTATTTGAGGGACGCAATAAATTACCGGGCGGGAGCGGGGTGGCCGAGGCGAGGGGCCCTAGGCATCCAGGGCGGCTATCACGGCTTGGGTGAAATCCAGGGAGGTGGCGTAGCCCCCCATGTCCGCTGTGCGCACCTGCAAGAGAGGGCGGCGTTACCGGGAGGGAGGGGGCCCCCCAGGATGCGGGGAGCCCCCGGCCCCGCGCTGGGCGCTGCGGCCGCAGGACCGGGAGCAGGGGCTTGGGTGCGTGCAAGCACTGGGCCACCTGCACGGGGGTCCCGGCTACCTCGGCCCCACGGGGTGGCCGGTAACCGCAGGGGCTGCTGGCTCCCCCTCCCGGGCCGGCCCTCGGGGGGGGGGAA